TCTATGAAATTCCAACAAGAGAGGCATGAAGCAGGGTGAATAACGGTCGAGGAAATCCTCGACAGGGGGTCGTATTTGCTCCGATGAGAGTTGGGAGGGGGTCGTAATCAAAAGGTTCATCAACGGACACAACGGTGCTGCTGCCACTTATTTGCTGTCATCATTATTTCACAAGTGTTGTAGTTAGCCTAATGCAAATAATATCTTACAACTGTCTGGAATTAAAATTTAAATGGAAAGTGGTTGTTGGTTTGGTTCGTAGTGGCATAGGAAGGCGTCCTGCAAAAGAATCGTAGGGAAAGGGCAGCGAGTATCTACTCTAGAATGATGTACATGCTTCGAGAACTTAGTGGAGGAACAGCATCTTGGTAGAAAGTTCAAAACAGGCAGATTCGCAGCCTTCTTGGCATCATCAGATCCTGCAACCGCAAGCTGTCATTCATCAGAACGGGTTGGAAAGGAAGCGATTTGAATAAAGGAATGATCAGACATCACTATGACCACAAGAGTTATCCTAATTAGTTAATACTGGAAATATCTTTTGGTGTGCTTAAGCAAGTCGTCACTAGGACAAAACACCTTCCCAATGACTCCGAGTGGGGTCACTGCATGGCGCATACAAGAACGGAATGGATCTGCGCCAAGTGCATCATTTTCAATTTACTCCATCGAACTGACGTGTACAGAAGTATTTTGAAGGTGTTCAAAGAAGTTCCCTACTACGGCGAGGGAGTAATAGAGTTTTCGAGTGGCTTCGAAAATTTCCTTGACATTTCCTCGACGCAGATTTCTCGCGAACTAGAAAGCGTTCGAAACAACTGGAGCACCTATCAGAAAGCGTAAATCTTCTACTTTACAACGCTTTCCTCCGATTTTCAAAGCATTGCCAATGAAGACAGCTACTGTCTTCCAAAGAGTGGGAACTCGCATGTAAATTTCAATTTCCTCGACAATTTCTCGACGTCTCCCACTCTCGAGAATAGGCGTGCTTAGAAAAACGCTCAGCACAATTTAGAAACTAGAAGTCTTGTGCATTCAAAAGCTGCCTTCACTTTCTGAAATGGTTATCAATGAAGAAAGTTATAGTCCTTTAAATAGGGGGTACATTTGACGATTTTTCCAACTAGCGCGCTCTAGGCGCGCGACGCGATCGCGGGTAGTTAGCGCCGCTATACTGGAGCGCGAGACTGTTCAACTGTGTAGGGGCAGTACCTCCTTCAATGTTCTACTTTCCGGCCAATGTGGCAAAGGTTAAATGTCTTTAAAGGAGAACCTAATCTGAGCAGAATTGAATCTAGCATTTGGATCAAGCCGCATTTGCGTGGCAGCGGCGCTGCGTCCCTCTCGCACATCTGAAACTAGCATTTTTTGATATGAAACCGGATGTGCAGAGGACAAAAAGGGGTCGTATCAGAGTCCATGTTTTGGAGGGGGGTCGTAAAGAGGCGGTTATTTCCTCGACACGATTTTCACCGTGTGATTGAATGAGTCGTACGAAGTCACGACACCCCATAAGCAGAAGCAGGACCTCCTTCACTGCCCTCACCGTCTTCAGAATATGACGTCATCTGCCATCACCGTCGAGCTCAAGGAGGCCTACCGTAATCGCTCCAGCCTGAAGCTGCTACATAATTTCTTCAATCGTTAACTGGTGAATAGCTTAGACACTAGCTGTGACTATGCAAAACCGCTTTTGACCAGCTTCAGAGACGTCGTAATGGTCTATGGTACCTCGACGACCTCACTGAGCTCGTACTGTGCACCATGCTTAGTTGGAAAATTTTTTGATGTCGTCGGTGTGGAGCGATATTGAGTAGTTCTTTATTAGATTAGCATGTGCCCCTCAATTTTCAATAAATCTCATTCGGTTTGGACTTGACAAAGTGTAATTAACACGTTGACGACAGGCTAACGCGCATGCGCGTCAGAAATTTGGCACCGCATCAGACATTGTGACACGCATGCGGGTCAAAACCAGGGTCAACCCTATCGTTGTTACTCTTCGGAAATTTTTTACGACCCCCCCCCTTCAGGGGTGGTTTGATACGACCCCCCCCTTTGCATGAAAGATGAAACCTTAGCAAAATCCACGACAGAAATTCATCGCTGCTTGCAAACACGAAAAAATGAGATGCATTCAAAGATATCCGTGTACTCCAAAGGGTTACCAAACTAGGAGATGAAATAAACTGAACCAGTGACCGGAATATTGACAATATTACCTGATAAAAACTTATGAGAAGTCAGAAAAAATTATCGCTCCAATTGAAATACTGAAATCCTTCACGTTCTTCAATTGCAACACAATTTTTACACCCCTCTTTCTAAGGCTATAACTTCCTTCATATTCGAGCTTCTGCGCCGAAGTGATTTGATTTGGAAAATTCAAATTATTCTCTCTCCAACCATGGGTAAAAATTCTTCGAAAGTTAATTTATAAAAATTTAGTACGTTGTTACTTTTTTCTGTGCAAATGCGACTTTTTGACCTTCAAACGATCATAACTTCCTTCAAAGTCATTCATTTGGGAAGCTGAACACGGTATAATAAACTACAGGATTCAAGCTTTCTAACGAGCACCCAAGCGTTCCTGAAAGATCAGCAGTTCAAAAATTAGTCCCGTTGTTACTTTTTTTTGAGGGGTATTCTTCAAGCCATTTTCTCGAAAACGCGAGTTTTCTTAGGTTTCACTGCCCGTAACTTCTTGGAAGACCAATTTTATGTTTAATTAGGATGTGCTAGAAAGCTCCGAGCATGCGCTTGCACTACATCCCTTGCCTTGGTGGCGCCCTTCTAATTCGCTGATTCATTTGAAAGCTCATTTAGAGGGAATCGTGGTTTATAGATGCTGTATCAGTCATCTTACGAAAACGTAACGTGCTGGCTATTATCCGATATTACCAAGAATCCCACTGTCGGCCACCGAGAGGGTACGACCCCCCTCCCTCCAAGCTCAACTGAGTACGACCCCCCCGTTGTTACTCGTAACAACGTAGGGTTGACCCTGGTCAGAACTGCCATTCATTTTTATGGCGCTTGCGCTCCTTCGTCTCCTAACGATAAACCATATAATACACAACTGTGAACGAAAGGAATGAACAGCTTCACCACTCTAGCACGCGATAGGGACGAATAGCGACGTTGCTGGCGCCCGCTCGAGCAAATCGACGATCAAGGTGATACAGGTTATAAACCACATGGCAGCCAGAGTGGTCAAATATCCCTTGATTTAGCAAAGATTTTCTGAACGCACAAAACTTTCATTTCAATTCTTTCCTAGTATTCCTTTCACTGTCGTAAACATTCACATGAATGATTGTTCCACTAGTATTACTCCGGATAAGTTAGACAGATCGAACATTATTGAAAACACTTCATCGCATCTAAGTATTGCGTATTTACAGCTCAAAATCCATGGATTTGGTGTGCGGCGGCTGCGCTCGCAAAATCGCTCTTGTCCCACGCGGTGCAAAACCCAAAACGCGCGATGTCGTCAACGTGTTAAACCGTTTTGAGTGTACAGCGGAGTCACTTCTTTTCTTGTTCCCCTCCCGACGTCCCCCTCCTGTGTATTGGCTGTCGCAAGCAGTTCATATTCTACCGTGGCGCTTTCCAGCTCCACAACTATGTTCAGGACGTTTAGCGGAGCATATTCGAGCATCGTTTCAATGCACGTATACAAATGTACACCGCTTTCGAATAAACCAGATTGTCCCAATGACTCCTAATTGGTTCGAATGTACAAAAGAAGCTCCTCTAAACCAAAATAGGTTCTACTTCAAGCTAACAAGTCTATGACTTAATCATTCAGAACTGATCTCAGCACCTTTTTCTGAATAGGATCACCTGAACTGTTTCCCTGTTCCCGCGGCATTCAGCAACGTCAGTACATTGAACACCAACGTAAAACAGAGAAATCTTTCTTAACTCAACTAATCACAAACTTTTGGTGACACAAAAGATTATGAAAAACGTCAGTACTGCATTTATAACGAGAGGACCAATTACAGCATCGCTATGCTGCTAAAAAACGTGTCTTGCTTGTGAAGGCTCACATTATTGCTTTTCAAAAAGCGCGCCCTTGCCTGAATATAAGGGAATTTTGGAAAACTGTTTTAAAAGATGTACTTGACATTAGTTTCACAGTATACTTCCATTTTTTCGATAATGCTTTATTGTTTGGGGTTACCTCCACACAGGTTCCTTTTTTGCTGCTAAAAGATCCCAACTACATATAGCCGATCGACTATTAATATTATCGAACTGAATCGATGTGGACGAGTTTCCTTCTTGGAGCTTGCAACGTTGTTGGATCTTTGCCATGGTTCACATATGTTTTTTATTTTAGCGGCCAACGTTTTTTTTACTGAAGCAACTCAGGCAAGGTTGAATACCCATTTTTTGATTTCAGATGTTATAGTGTACAATATGAATTTGTCTTGGGCTAACCAGTTTGCTAAAACTGCTTTAAAGACTGCTCAACAAAAGATCGACAGTGTTCTCGACATACGACCGGACGAAGAAGAAGCTACAGGATCAGTCACGGTAAGACGGTAGCATCACAAAATTAGCAGTAACTTTATAATTGATCTATTGAATATCTGCCAGCCGTATCTTGTTCACAAATGGAATTTAGCCTCCTAATTTAATTACAAGCAATATCTATTTGATCACAAATATTCGGTGCTGTTAGCTTTGAATTCCTACTCAACCACTTTTTAACTGAAGCTCAAGCCATGGCGCATATTTGGGTAGTGTCAAGGGAACAAGCTCTAGAAGCTCAAATCAAGTGTTCATGTTTTCCATTCAGTCTTTTTTGCTGATAGTATTCTTGGGGTAGCATATATTATCACCTGAGTTTAAATTTTTTTCTTTGAAGACCGCGATCTCCGATGATTTGCTCGTAAACCCTGCCGTGCCACTTGGCGTTACAGAAGAGGTGCGTTGCTAAGAAAATATTATTCTTGAATTGTTATTATGGTAAAGCTTGCATTGGTATGGTTTTTTTGTTATTGTATTTTTTGTATTGTTATTAGGTATTGTTCAGGTAAATGTACCTACTCCTCCAGCGACCTCATCAGTGAATGGGGAAGGTTGGTCAAATGCATGGAACAGTGTTTCAGCTGATCAAGAGGTAGAAGCTGAATATTTTCGGATAAATACTCCTTTTTTCTGCTTTTGTTTCCCTTATTTTGCCATTATTAATACGTTCATCGCCCTTTCTTCACTTTGAAATAAGAAATGTCTTTTCAAAGTTGATGTTCAAATGAGTGCACAGGTTTCATCATCGAGACATTTTAGTGTACTCGATATCTCGAAGTCAGATTAGGCGTGTCTATGGGTTTGACGTGGCGGCCGCCGCATTTGATGGAAGTTGCGCGGATAAGCATGCTCTGCTGATATCCAATGGAGTACGTTAGAAACAGCCTATCCTCACGGCTTTTATCAAGTGCGGCAAAGGCCACGTCAAATCCATAGCCACGCCTAATCTGACTTCGAGATTTCGACCATACCTCTCCTGTATTGATAGCCATTTAGACAATAATTGGAGAACTTTCAGCTCGTCGTGGATTCAGAACCAAATCCTATCAGAGACGAATGTCCGCAAGCGTCTGCGTCCTTGTTCGACCATTCGCCTTCTTCGGTAAACTTTCTTTTCTGAGATGAAAATCTTTTATGACCAACATTATTTTTGTCAGAACTCATCCGATGGCATAGAGCCTGGACAATCTCCGCAAAAAGTTAACGAATATGAGGAGAACAAACGGGTATGCAAAATCAGATGCTGCCAAAACACAGCTCTCATAAGACTTAGTTCTTTTTTTGTATGCAGTAAATTCAGGTAGAGATAGGAAATGTTGAGAAATCCGTGTATGTAGACGTGGATTTATCCGTGCCTAGTCCCGACGAAGTTCAGTTCGCTTCTTCATCAGACACCATTCAGGAGGAGAACGTCTTACCACGTAAATTGAAGGCTTCTTACTGTGCAATTATAATTTCGTTCACAATTTTTTTTATTAATTTTTAATTCACATCAATTGCTATTGACGGCTGGGTAATTTAATAACAATTGATGACATATTTAAGCTTTGCCAGACATCGGTCGCGAAAATTCTCATCAAGATGATTCAATAACTGTTGCTTCCAGTGATATTGAAGTGATTCGAAATGCAGATGCATGGTACGGTTTCGCACTAGTTTCCATGTTCTGTGATGGTTCTATCCAATTGATTTTCAGGTCAATAGCTAGTAGTAAGCCTGCTACGGATCACATGCCTTCCCACGTCCTGACGTCCAAGGTAACTTCTAAGTCTCATTGGCGCTCATGTTGTTTAATGGAACATTGAAGTGAGGAATGCACATACAGAACTTGGGGCTTAGCTTTAGGGACGAGAAGGAATTCTGGAAGAGGATGTGAGCACCTTTGTTCTTCCCGGCGTTTTTCCCCTCTCCCGAGCTTAAATCTAGCGTCACCCTTAGTGGTTTTTAAATACTGTTTTGAATGTCCCTTTGGGGACTGACACCATCCCCTTTCCATAATTTTAGTTTTCAAGTGTTCTTGAACGGTGTACCATTCCTAATGCACCAACGGAGAAGCGGTTTCTAGTCATATTGCGCTACCGTGACTGTTTAGCGTTTTCTTTAGGTTTGTGGGGTGTATGTCGTACTTTTTGTGAATACTTGTTGAACTGACTGAAATTTTGTATGTAAGCATTTGATGTGCAGGGCAATGTAGCAGTCACTTGTAGCTTTTGAAAGTTTATTTCCCGTACGGCCACTTTGATTTTCAAAAAACGCGGGGAACAAATTAAATGCTGCTCAGCAGTTCGAACTACAGTTAAACCGACCACCCAAGCTATCAAAACTTCGTGTGCTAAAAGGGGCAATGTTTTCCAAATACCTGGAAGGCTGTCCTGGTCGTCGATAGTACATCGGTCAATCTTCGCGACCAGAATACTCGGCAGTCTGCGTTTTGAAAGCGACATTGTTCACGAACCTGAAAGTACTGAAAGTGTAGCACGTTTTAAAGAGATTCATTTGTTGTTATCATTTAGCACGATGCGATGGAATCATTTCGTGCCCAACTTCTGCATGCTGAGCAACGCAGAAATGAACTTAAGGCGGCGAACGATACGTTGCAGTCTAATAATGCGCAGCTGCAGCAACGAATTATTCTTCTAAATCAACAGTTAGTTCACTTTGATTCGAAATGTTTGTGGCTTCCAAAGGGTTTTTAAATCACCTCTTCTAATTGGATGGTTCTAACCAGGAGCTTCAATTCACATCTCATCATCACTTGTTTGTTTCGGAGTCACCTATACTCATACGTTTTTAGGCAATCATCCTTAAAAAAGGAACTAGAAGGCAAGAAAACGGAATTGGAAGATCTTTTTGCAGAAGGTAAGTGTTTCTTCCGTTTTTGGGCTATCGCTGGTTACTAACTCTAAACTAGGTAAACGCCTTTCTGACCACTCTGGGAAACAGGCTCGCGAAATCAGACGTCTCAAAAGTGAGCTAGCTGAGCTAGAGAAAGTGAAAGCTGAGCGGAAACGACTCAAAGAGGAAAAAAGCAGAGCTGAAGAAACAATCGATCTTCAAAAGGAGGAAATTGCCTCACTCAAAGGTTAGCCACCGAAATTTCGCTCTTTCAGCTGCTGCTGATGTTCCATCACATTTAGGTATGGTCAAGCAGCTGGAGTCCAGTGCTGAGCAACTGCTAAAGGAGCAGTCCATGCGTGCGGCAAGCACTGAGGTGAGCTTAACATACTACTAGCTTTTTTGAAAACTTTACAGTTATATGCACAGTCATACCTCCTTTTGGTAGGTTGCTCAAAAGCATGCGTTAGAGCAGAACAAGCTTGTTGCGGAGCTGGAGCGAGATTTATTAGAAGCTAGGAAGCAGATAGATGAATTAACTGACAGTAATAAGGTATGTTATGCTCACAGAAAACATTTTTGCGAATCATTTTTGGCAGCAATCGTATAAGTATTTCAGAAGTTAACTAGAGAAGCTGAATTGATGCAATCAGCCAACTGGTCTGAAAGATTGGCCGGAGAACGCGCTCACGAAACAGTAGCAACTATTAACACTGAATTACTCGAAGCTCGTGCTCACATCGAACGTCTTCAATCACAATTGCAAAGCACCGAAAGCGTTAGTCTTTCGCTTCTTTCTTGTTGGATTCAGTTCTTATCAATAGAATTTCTATTTTCTATCAATGAGAGATTGTCTGCAGCTGTCTTTGTTTGTTTTGTTCTCATTTTTAATATTTATCTTGTTTAGCGACTGGAGGTTGTTCTGAATGAGAGGAACAGTGTTGCGGAATCGATTTCTCAAAGTGCGTACAACTCTTGCTAGCTTTTTTCATATATTCGTTGAACTATGCCTTGCAGGCAACATCCCATTGTTGGAGGAAATCAACAACTTGAAGCAGTTACTCTATCGTGAACAGAGCGCAAGTGAAGAATCGGATATAACGATACGCGCTCTTAAGAGGGATCTTGATGTTGTGAGAGAGCAATTCGACAAATCCAAGGAAATTGTAAGCTCTGTTTGCACTGATCCTCAAAAAACTAGTCCGCGGAATAATCATGATTTCTATCTCAGTCTAAATCTCTGGCTTGAGACCCATCGTCCACGATAGAAACAAGAAGATTGGAAAAATTCGTTTGTCTTGGTAAACGATTCGAAAAACAGGAAGAACTTACGTGTTCAAATTCCCGCCAAATATCCGTCACGAATGTTGACGGCCTTTTCTAGGAACTTATCTGGCCTTTCCCACCATTACAGTAGCATTTCTATTGTCTACTGCATCCTATTCTTTCGAGCGTCTTGTCTCTATTCGGAGGGCGTAACCCGATTCCGGCACGTGGCCGCCCCAAGGCGCACATTAGTGGGATTACAAAGTCCGGTGAGTGACCGCAACCGTAACACGTGACTGGTTGGCGGCAACGTC